TGTTTTTTTTTTTTTTTCGTCATCAATAGCAAATGTTTAAATATCATGGTAGTATAAAAGATGTGAGGAAGAGTATCTTTAATGAAAAATGTATGTTATTCATGTTAAAAGGAAAACTGTTTCTCCTTTGCATCAAGTACATAAAATTTTGATTGTATCTAAATAAGTTAAATTTTCTTAAAATTGAAGATATTAGAACTTAGACTTAATAAAATAGTGTAAGTATGTGTTAGATCTATCTAGAAAATACACTATTCTTGATATATGTTTTTTAATTATAATATACAAATAATTTATAAAATATTTCGAGTCGTACAACTTAATTCTTATAATACTAAAAAATAAGTGGTGTTAAACAATTGTGCACTGTAATAATAGAATAATATGTGTGATAATATCAAAAGCATAATTTTCTTTTAGTTTTCATATCAAATTTTAAATTCATGTTTACAATAAAAATGTAACAAGTCACGCGTAGCGTGGCTACATTCATCTAGTCATACATATAAAAGTAAGGTTTCACTCTCTTTTTATTGGTCCATTTGGAAATGTAAATTAAATTATTTTATTTTTAGTTAAATCATAAATAAAACACATTTAACTCACCTTTTAATATAAAAACTGAAATCATTAAAATTATACATTAACTATATTTTTCCAATCAATTTTATTCAACAACAATAAATTAGAATTGTTACTCCCATAATTTATTTATTTTAATTGTAACTTATCTCACTTCTCATCTTATAAATACTCATTTCTCATTCTCTCATCCTCTCATCATCTCATCCTCTCATCCTCTCACCCTCTTCCAGTATAGCTCAAATCATATATATTTTTTTGTTTTATGTTCTTACATTAGTTTTTTTTTTTTTGAAAGATGCATCTTAATTTTCTATTTTAGATAATCATCTTATAAATAATCATTCTCTCATCTTCTTCTACTATATTTATGTGTCTATTTTTTATGTTGTATATGGATTAAAAATCAAGAATTTGATTCTAAATTTATTTTAGAATGTATTATATATATATCTAACATTGTATTCATTTTTGTATATTTCTAAACCCATACTAAAATATACTTATTTATTCTTTAATATTCATATTTTTAGTTTAAATTCACATATGTATACTGAAAGTTTTGATGGTTATAACAAAACTTTCAGGTTTTTTGGTGATGGAGAGTTAAATATATCAATTCCAATCATAACATAACAAGATAATGAAGTTGAAAAGATCCATTTCTATTGTCTACTTTAGATGTTTGATTATTTTCTATTACATTCATGTAATTTTTTAATTATGCAATATTTAATGAAAACGTTATTGAAATACATTTCTTAAATATATATTTCTTACCTTTTTCTTATCTCAAATAAATTTTATAATTTATTTTTAATATATGTATTATTATATTTACTTTTTGTGATCCAATAGATAATTATATAAAAATCGTTATACTGTTTATTTTATTTAAAATTTGAGGTTTAAGTATTTTATCAAATTAAAAAGAATTTCGTTAAAAAAAATTGGTCCTTAAGATTAAAAAATGAATCATATGGTTCAAGAAAATTAAATTTAGGTCGAATAGAAAATTAGAATGAAATCATGAGAAGGAAACCTAATACTCATATTTAAATAGAGTGAAATATACAAGAAAATAACTATAATTAAAACAAAAATCATTTTATTAAATTCTATAAAGATAAATCCATTAATATAAAATCTAGCACTAGAATTTAAATTGATGAGTGAAGTTAAAAAAAAAAGATAGAAGTTATCCTTGGATCTTTGATGATTTTAATTAGATTGAAGTTCATATGATTTTTATAAGAAAATAAATTTAGTTTGCCATTTGCAAAATAATATGAATTTGAACTATTATGTTGGAGTTTTTTTTTTTTTTTTAACACCTGAACTTTATTATACGGTATATGGTTGATGCAAGAAAGGAAGCAGAGGAGGAGGAGGAACAGAGTACACTGTAAAAGATTTTCTAATAGAAATAGCTTGATGAGCCATCTTATCAGCTGCACTATTCTTTTCCCGATTAACATGATCCAACGATGAGAGAGGAAGCTTTGCCATCCAATGACGAATGTCGTAAAGGAGAGAACCTATCTGCGAATGGTCTTCACAATTATTGATAATCGAGATCAGTTCCTTATTGTCGCCTTCAAACCAAACCTGTCGCATTCCATGAGCCCAAGTAACTTGAAGAACATGGAGAAATCCCAAAGCTTCAGCCTGCAGCGGAGACGTAGCTGAACACAATTTTGCACAACCAGTGAGAAGTACTTTTCCATTACTATCCCTTATCAACCATCCTGTGTTTGTGAAAGATCGTCCCTGCTGAAAACCGCTATCAAAGTTGCACTTAATCCAACCTTCCGTAGGTGGTGACCATTGAGAATTTCTGTCTTTGGGTTGATTTCGTTGTGTATGATTGTTTCGTATTTCCTCATGATTAACATTTGCTTCCAGCCACTCATTTCCTTCATGAATCCCTTTTGTTGCTTCAATCTGCGGGGTTTTATTAATTTTCCGGAAAAGAAAATCGTTCCTTGACTTCCATAATCTCCACATTATCCAGAAAGGCAATAACCGCTGAGAATGAGAGAGGGAAGGGATCTTAGCTCGAAGGAGAAGGGTCCCAATGTTGTTCTCTAAGCTACCCGAGAAGTTGTTTTGTCCCGCAATGCTGTGAACATGTCTCCATACGGCATCAGCGAAAGGACATGTGAACAAGATGTGATTTATCGTTTCTGCTTCTCTGCAACATCTTTGACATATAGGATCTGCAGGGATCGTTCTCGTGATGAGCTGTGTTGTAGTTGCTAAAGCACCAGATAAGCATTTCCAAAGAAAATGACGTATTTTTGGAGTAATCTGCAGCTTCCAAATTTCTTTCTTTAGAGCAATAGATCCATGGGGAGGGGTGATAGCATCATCTGCATGTATATTGACGTGAGTGGCCACCCAGTAACCAGAACGAACACTATATTTTGCATTTTTTGTGTACACCCACTCAAAGGAGTCTTGATTTGAAAACTTTGAGAGGTATAAACTTGCAGCCAATTTTTGATCCTCCGGATTGAGAACACCTTCAAAAATAAATGGATCCCAATCTCTTTGCCCTTCTTTCCATAAGTCTGAAACAGTCATAGTCGGATCTAAAACAGGCCCTGAAGCTGGACGCGGCGGCAAGGTAGGCAGCCAAGGATCACTCCAGATTTTTGTGTTTTGACCGTTCCCTATACGGACTCTCAAGCCTTGGCGTAAGAGTTCTTTTCCGTGCTTGATTGATCGCCATCCAAAAGAGGGTCGATTCCCTGTTTCCGCTTGGAGATAATTTTGATGAGGGTAGTACATTCCTTTATAAAGGCGAGCTAGAAGGCTTTGCGGGTTGGTCTGAATTCTCCAAGCTTGCTTTGCTAAAAGTGCTCTGTTAAAATGATGGAGGTCTTTGAAACCCAATCCTCCCTCATTTTTTGGCAGAGACATTTTGTTCCAGGCAACCCATGGTATTTTCCTCTTTCCTTTCTCCTTTCCCCACCAAAATGTCGAGAGAACACTTTGTATTTCATCGCAAATTGATTGAGGAAGCATGAAACAATTCATAGAATAAACAGGCAGCGCTAGAGCAATGGATTTGATGAGGATTTCTTTTCCGGCTGGAGAAAGGAACTTATTAGACCACCCCTCTGTTCGCTCCTTTACCCGTTGAACAATATACTCAAACATTTCGACTTTCTTTCTACTAAACTGTTCGGGTAACCCAAGATACTTCCCACCTCCACCAACATTATTTATTCCAAGAATATGATGTAATCTTCTTCTCTTTACTTCCGGGATTTTCATACCAAAAATAACAGAAGATTTAGAGTAATTTATCATCTGACCTGAGATCTCCTCATAGCGTTTAAATATGCTGGCCATATTCTGGCAGTTAGTATCAGTAGCACGGCAAAAAAACAAGGAATCATCAGCGAAAAGTAGATGGGATATCATTGGGCAGTCTCTCTCCAATTGCATACCATGAACTTGACGGTCTCTCACCGCTTTATCTAGCATTTGGCTTAAAACCTCTGCACAGAAAAGAAACAAATAAGGAGAGAGAGGGTCGCCTTGTCGTAGACCCCGAGTAGGTTGGATACGGCCATAAGGGGATCCATTGATCAAAACCTCGTAGGAGACAGTCCTAACACACTCCATAATCCAATGAATCCATTTACTATCGAATCCCATTTGAACCATAGCTTGTTCCAAAAAGTTCCACTCTACGCGGTCATAAGCTTTACTTATGTCCGTTTTTATCGCCAAATAACCATTCTGGCTTACCTTCTTTGACTTTAAGGAATGAAGAAGTTCATGCGCCACTAACACATTGTCTGAAATGTTGCGTCCTGGAACGAAAGCTGCTTGCGAATCAGTGATGATAGCTCCCAAACATGTTTTTAGACGTGTTGTCAAGACTTTAGAGATGATCTTATAGTTGACAGTGCAAAGGCTTATTGGTCTGTAATCTGCCGCAAGAGTAGGATCAGTGATCTTTGGAATGAGACAGATTTGCGTATGGTTTATTGTTTTATCCATCTCTCCGGTTTCAAAAAAATGTCGGACCATTTGACATGTATCATCGCCAAATATATCCCAAAACTGATGGTAAAAAGCTGCAGTAAACCCATCAAAACCTGGGGCTCGATCAGCTCCAATTAGAAACACTGCTTCTTTTATTTCCTGGTCAGAAACTGGCCTTGTCAGAGTTTGATTCATTTCACTCGAAACCTTGCGTTCAATACCAGTCATGACGTCTTCGCAGTCTGAATTCTGAGTGGTGGTAAATAAATGTTGAAAATATGATTCGAAAACTTTGCCAATAGCTTCATCGCGAAAGTGTTCTACGCCACTTTCATCGGTGATAGACTTCATTCGGTTTTGATATTTTCGAACTTTTGCAGAGGCGTGGAAATATTTAGTGTTACGGTCTCCAACTATCATCCATTTATTTCTGCTCTTTGTCTTCCAAAACTGTTCCTCGTCTCTATAAGCTTGATTGAGGTCTCTTCTAAGACCATGAATCTTGTAGGTAGGAGTTGAATGATTTCTCTCTGCAGCATCCAATTGGAATTTCAGAGTTTGAATTGTCTCTGCAGAGTTTACCCTGTTGCGTCTTTTCCACAAGGCTAATTCACGGCGACACGATTTAAGCTTGTTTTGAATTCCACCCATGCTGTCAGTAGTTCCCCGATGCCATCCTTGTTTCACAGATTTCACGAACTCATCACAGCGAGAATACCTTTTGTCATACCGGAATTGACCACGTTTGATTTGAAAATCCTCCTCAATGTCAATAATGACCGGAACGTGATCTGAACCAGCAAGCTGTAAGAATTCTGATTCCGAAGCCGGGTACATAGACTGCCAATCAGAGTTGATAAACACTCTATCCAGACACGCTTCTATTGTTTCTTTCTGACGTTTCCCAACCCAACTAAATGGATTTCCTTTGTACTTTAAATCCTCCATGTTGCAACAGGTAAGCATATTGTTGAAGTTTCTGCAACTACTAACACTTCTGGTTCTTCCTCCTCTTTTCTCAGTATCATTCTTAATCTCATTAAAGTCTCCACAAACTATTATGTGGGAGTTTATATTAACAAACAAACAAATTATTTGTGAATTTATATCAATAATTTATTTTGTAAAAGTAATAGATAACATATGTTTATTGATGTTTACATACATAGATAATAGTAAAGTAAAAAACAATACTAAAATATGAGCAAATGCAAGATATCAAATCTTAAGGGCCTTTAAAAAAATTTCAATCATATATATATTGAAACAAATGTCATCTACATCATTAGCATGTAATCATTTAAGATTTTTCTATAATAATATATAATAATTATATTTTATGTATTTTGTAACCTCCATACTATTAATTATCGTTATGTTGTTAATGCTCATACTAAATTGCAACGATACGTTAAATACAATTAATACAAAATGAATACTAAACAATGAATTCTTTGAAATGTAACATAACTTTTATGATATACATAAAATTAAGTTACTCATAAATGACATTTAAACATAATTGTTAAAGTTGAATAGTTGTAAAACGTAAATATGTTGTCTTCTATAAATAGTACTATACAAATATCACTAACCATCATATTCCAAATTTCATAATATTAATAAATTTTATAACTTTTTCTTTTATAATCAGACTAATGATGTTTCAATATTACATTTTTGTCAATTTTGTAAGAGGCAGTGAAGAGGAGATGACATGTAACCAAAAACCCTTACTCACAATCAATCGTATGTGCTAATTCAGAGGTCTTTTATAAGGAGCGAGTAGAGAAACCCGAAGTTTGTAATTCAACAAGAGAAGATATACTAAGGTTGATTTTCTTTGTCCAAAACAATCAATCAATATAAACCTGAATTCTGATTGATTCAAAATAAATTTGAACTGTATAATGGAATAATTCATCTCTTTTCACTTATCTCTTACAATATAATTCATCTCCATTTCTACATCTATTTTTTAAACTGTAAAAAAATTATTTGTTATACAGTTCTCAAATAAATTATGCTTTTACAAGTAGCATAAAATGGTTATTTTATTAACGGAGAATAAACAAATAAAATGGTGTTTCATCATTTGTTACGTCATTTATGTGATTTTAAATATCTTCATTAAGTAGATAAACAAATTCGAATCAAGTTGTATCAACATATAACGGTAGACTCAATTCAAAACTTAGCCCAAACGTAATTAGATTAAAAATGAGTTGAACTTGATAGAAATCAGTTCCAATACATTTTAGCATGTTCTCATTTTCTAAAATCTTTTGAAAAAAGCCATTAAATACACCGTTGAAGTTATTCATTGTTTGCTGTTCTGCTATTTGAGTAGTAGTACTAAATACTAACTGATCTTCGTAAACCATATGAGGAGATAAGCAAAGGCATAATCAAATTTTTTTAAGCATTAAATTAATTTTTACACAATCTTTAATGCTTCTAAATGTACTATCATCTCGTAGCAACCTTCTAAAATAGATTTGTTATCACTTTTTAAGTAATACATTTCAGTAAACATTTTTAATTTAAACCATAATTATATTGTGGTTACTCTAATATTGTTGTATTAGAGTAAAGAAATTTTGTGTGTGAATAAGTGACAAAGGAACAAAGGAATTAATTAATTATTTGTGCGAGAATGAGTGACTATTGGTGAACCATTATGATTCACATGATGATTCACATGATGATCAAATTTCCAAGTTCTTTTTCCAACTATACAAGACATGTAATTGCATTGGTAGCACATTACGCACATCGTTTTCATATTTCACAATGTGAAATAATACCAGAACTTGTCTCGTCACCTTACTTCAACATTATATAATTCAACCACTATATATAACGTGTAAAGCTTGGTATGCTTTTTAGTTGATATATAAACCAAACTTTTCTTTTAGAATAGTCCTTACAATAATCAAATTGCACAATTTATCTTAAAATGTGGATAACACTTAATTTATAATGTGTAAAGCTTAATTTCACAAAACAAAACAAATATAGAAAATAGAATATTGCGTTGCGATTGGATTTTTTAAATTAGGTGAACCTGGTAGTTTCAAATTTTATTTGTAAAAACTTAAATGCGTGATTTGATTTTGTTAAAGGAAAATCTATATATAATAGCAATCTAATAAATACCATTTGCATATCTGAACGGTTGCGTCTTTTTATCGCAACCTTTCGTTTAAATCGGTTATTTTTTACGGTTATTTTGGTTGCGTATTTTTATCGCAATTTTTGGTTTAATCGGTTATTTTTTTACAGTTATGTCGTTTCCAATAAATATCATTTGCACATCTGAACGGTTGCGTCTTTTTATTGCAACCTTTCGTTTAAATATTTATGGTTGTTTTTCTTACATATATTTTTGTACGGTCATGTTGTTTAGTTGAATTTCTACTTACGTAAACCAATAAACTACATATAAAATTGGTTTTATTTCATAGTTTACATATGAATATATTTAGTAGTATAACCTCCTTAATTATATCATTCATTTAACATTTACGTGATATCATGGGAAAACAAATATAATAGCAATCTCAATAAATGTCATTTGCACATTTCAACGGTTGCGTATTTTTATCATAACTTTTTTTAAAAATATTAGCGGTTATTTTTTCGGTTGTGTTTTTTATCGCAACTCTTCGTTAAAAAGATTGACAGTTACTTTTTTTGTTTACGGTTATTTTTTAGTTGTGTCTTTTTTTATCGCAACTTTCCGATAAATATTGGTGGTTACTTTTTTCGTTTCTGTCTTCTATCGCAATTTTCCGTTAAAATATTGATGGTTATTTTTTCTCAGTTGTGTCTTTTTATCGTAACTTTCCGTTAAAATATTAACGGTTATTTTTCTTAGTTGTGTCTTTTTATTGCAACTCTTCGCTAAAATATTGACGGTTATTTTTTCGTTGACGGATATTTTTTAGGTTGTGTCTTTTTATCGTAACTTTCCGTTAAAATATTGATGGTTACTTTTTTTCGTTTGTGGATTTTATCGCAACTTTCGGTAAAAATATCCACGGTTATTTTTTTCTAGGCCATGTCTTTTTATCGCAACTTTCTGTTAAAATATTGACAGCAATTTTTTCTCGGTTGTATCTTTTATCGCAACTCTTCGTTAAAATATTGACGGTTATTTTTTTTCCGTTGTGTCTTTTTATTGTAACCCTTTGTTAAAATATTAACGGTTATTTTTTCTTATCTTTTTATCGAAAATCTTTGTTAAAATATTGACGGTTACTTTTTTCGTTGACGAATACTTTTTCGGTTGTGTCTTTTTATCTTCACTTTCCGTTAAAATATTGACCGTTATTTTTGCGGTTGTGTTTTTTATCGCAACACTTCGCTAAAATATTGACGGTTACTTTTTTTTTGTTGATGGTTATTTTTTGGTGGTGTTTTTTTATCGCAACTTTTCGATAAAAAATTGGCGGTTCTTTTCTCTCGATTGTGTCTTTATATCGCAACTCTTCGTGAAAATATTGAATGTTACTTTTTTCGTTGACGGTTATTTTTTCAGTTATGTCTTTTTATCGCAACTTTCCGTTAAAAAATTAACGGTTACTTTTTATGTTCTGGTCTTTTATCGCAATTTTTCGTTAAAATATTGATAGTTACTTTTTTTGTTGACGGTTATTTTTTCGGTTGTATCTTTTTTATCGTAACTTTCCGTTAAAATATTGACGGTTATTTTTTCTCGGCTGTGTCTTTTTATCGCAATTATTTGTTAAAATATTGACGGTTATATTTTTTTATTGAAATATAAAAAATGATTTAGATTAAAATATTTGGGTTTTTAATTATTTAGATTAATTATTTTATTTAGATAATATTAGTTTTTCTTTTAGATGACATGGCAAATTCTGATTGGTTTTTAAAGTGGGGGTGAATGAATTGGTTTTTAAATTCTTGACATGTCAAGAATTTCACCACTAGGAGTGAACCCAAGAATTATTCGAGAAGAACTATTTCTAAACATACATCATTTAAATATTAAAGAAATTCTTCACATTCTTGATCTAACTTAAGTTTTTTCGGAATGATTATAAATTTGGAGAAGTTTTAATCAACTTTACATATAACATTCTAATGAAGTACCAACAATTGGACGGATTATATAGTGAATTTTTTTATCTAACTATTTTATATAGTAACAATGATGTTTTCTATTTTAAGGCAATATATATGAGTTATATACAAAGAAATATTGATGTTGCGTTAACACTATTACAAAGTCCGAATATGAGAAGACATGCTCATATGACGCTTGTGATTGAGTGTTTTAAATTTGGTAAGCCTCAAATGAACTGTTTCAAATGGTTTGGTAATCCAGAAATCTTTTACATTATTAGGAAAAAAACAATGCTTCCAATTCGTCAAATGTTATTCAAGGAAGAAGTTTTTTAGTCAGTTAATTTATCAATATAATTTATGAGATCTTGTAAGTATTTATTTTTTTATTATAGATGTAATTTACTTCATCAAATTTTATATTTTCTCTAATATATATAATAGAATAAATATTAACTTTATATTTAAAGAACAGTGGACAATAAAAAAACACCAATTCTCTGGCGAAATTCTTAGTCATCCACAAGTCATTCTGAGTACTGACTCCATCCGAATTTTTGATTTTCGACCTGCTAGAATTTTTCATCTTTATATTATAATTCTTCGTTATGTATTTTGTCACTTATAAATAATTTACATTCATAAAAAATATTTCACATGTGTTTTTAATCATAATTCTTCTTTTTATATTTTTATTCATAAATTGTTTTAACATCTTTGGAAAATATTTATGATATAACTTTAAAACATAGTTAATTTTATATAATAATTCATATATTTAAATATATTATCATAATAATTTAATACATAAACACAATCAAATATATTTGTTGAAAATGAGTTCCCCGCGACAT